TTGAGGGGGCTGTGGGAGGGAAAGATGTTAATGTTGGTGCTTCTAATGCTGTAACCGACAAGGAGCAGAATGATGCCTTCCCAATAAATAATGATGATCATGATCCAGGGGAAGATGTTTATCTGGAGTCAACTCTGCAGTTCAGAGAAGTTAAAGGTAGGTTGTGCTGTCACTATAACATTCAAATGTGGTCCAGGTGCAACCATAGGTAACTTTTTGTTTTCTTTTGCAGAGTGGGGAACTATGGATTCTGACAGAGCATTGCTAGCAGAGGTTTCAGATGCCAGAAATAAATTAGGTGACCGCCCACTACTGAAAAATGTTGATTTATTCAAAGAAGTAGCAAAAGTTTTGGTACTGATGCATTATACTGTGGATTGGGAAATGTGCCAGAAAAGATACAACGCTCTCCTGAAACGATTTCGAGAAGAACATGATAAGATCGGAAACACTGGCGCAGCAAAGTGCAAGTGGGAACTCTACGATATGGTGTATGACTTAGAAAAGGAACAAGTGACAACTAAACCACTAATGACAGTGTCAGTTGGTGTTGCATCCACAGTGAACAAGGCATTTGCTGCAGGACAAACACTAAAGAAAATGGGCAGGTCTCGGACCCCATCTGTAGAGGTGTGCGAACTGACCTTTTTGAAAGTCGAATCGAATCGAATCGAATATCCCAAGTTCAAATCCGAATCGAATCATAGGCTTTAGTAGTTACAAAACAGAATCGAATCGAATCGAATATCCCAAGTTCAAATCCGAATCGAATCGAATCATAGGCTTTAGTAGTTACAAAACATTTCAAGCCTACTTATAGGAATTATTATTATTGACTGTACAGTGGAATAAACCATCTCTCCAACAATTATAAATGCGAAGCAGATGCAGAACTTGGAGACACGCTATTTTTTATGTAACTTACCATCGTAAACCAAGTAGAGGGGTCAGGTCAGAGGTCCGCATCCTATTCAGGTGAAAATCCTTCAAGTAGTAGTCCTTTCCTTTCATGGCATCAGCAGCATCAGGTGTCACAGACCACTCACCACACTAACTCACACAGTCCACAGTCCACAGTAATTTTAAGAGTTTTAAGATCACAGGTGGGGGTGTAAAGATTGGCATTTCTAAACCATTTTTGTTACTCGAGGTATCCGCTGATCGTTCAGCCATGATCACACTTGCTATTATCACTATCGCTTGGTTATTTATAACTGGTTCAATGCACTGTTAGTATGGCTTGTCCAAGTTCCACATAACCTTCTCTTGATTTCAAAAGTGCGTTTCCATATTAAATTATTGAGTGACACTCAAAACAAGATACACCGTCTAGGAAAGAAAACGGAAATAGTGTCGAAAGCATAAACCGTAAAAAACGCGATAAAAATCGAAACCGTTAAAAACTTTGATTCAAAGTTTGTTGCCGCGAGAGTTAGACGATTTTTTATCTACTAATTGCAGTTGTTAGTCAACGTTATTTGCAACCCGGAGCCCCTGTTTGCACGACAGACAGCGCGTCACTCAGTTGTTCTCTAGTCAAAAAAACAACATACAACAAGCAGACGACTGAGACGACGAGAGAGAAAAGCAGAATGTGTGAATCAAAAGGCCAAAAACTCATTAGTTCGTAAAAATATCGGAATCGGACTAGTTGAAACTACTAGAGAAGCTTTTACGCTAAGATTGGTATACGTCCTTTCCGTCTGGGATTGTTATTACCGAGCGGTAAGTCCTAACTTTTCGTTCTGGCTGTCTTGTCTAGGTTATTACTAAAGAAAGTTCACACTTTGAAAATAGTGGGCTGGGTATGGGAGGGCGTTTACAGTCAGTGTACACCTAGTAATCTAATTTTTTTTATTTTTCCAGCCAGCGCTCAGTAAAAACGAGAATATTTCTGAATGTTTGACTGAGTGGAATCGGAAGGCAAGACACAACTGGACCAAGACCGAGGAACAAGAGCAAGCTCAATCTGGAGAGCTTATTTAGTATATGTTCAGTTTTGGTGTTCAAAGTAAAAACTTTTTTGTACTATTACTCTTATTATTTTCTGAGGAATATTTTTTGTAATAAACTGTACTTAGTACGTGGAAAATTATATGTATACCCTACCCAGTGCCACAGGGATGGATTATGTTTTGATTTTTCTGGAGAACGGAAGCAGCCATCGGCGCGCTTCCCGATTCGAATTCGAACGTAAACGTTACAAAGCACTCGAATCGGTTCGCATTCGAAGGTGTTAGATTCGAAATTGAATCGAATCGAACATGCCTAGATTCGATTCGATTCGATTCGAATTCGAACTGTTCGCACACCTCTACCCATCTGCCGTCCGTCAGGAAAGGGTGAAGAAGCTGATGGGCCCGCCACCTGCAGTAAGCTCTGGTGCTATGGGATTTAAGAATCGGGCTCTGGAGATGCAACAGAAGAGATTAGATATGGAGGAACGTTATCTACAACGGTTTGAACAGTTTTGTGATGAGTCTAGAGAGAGAGGTGTTGTTTTCAAAAATGGACTTGAAGTTCTCAAGGACCTTCAGGGTCAATTGAAGGAACCCAGAGCGGACAAGAATAACAATTAGTGCTGTACACTGTTTTCTAGTTTCCTAATATTCAATTGTAGGCAATTCAGAAATCAGTAATTGTCAACTAATCTAATTGTTTTGTTTAGACAGGTCTCTCTTCAAAGATTGACCTTTGCATGTGTTCTGACTGATTTGATTCCTTTAGTTCATCTCAGAGATGGTTTAGAATTTTATTATTTTGTTTGATTATTATTTCTTTCATATGTTTTGACTGATAATTTAAGTTCATACTTGAGCTCTTACAGCAGCATTTCAGGCGTGTTGTTTCAGCTTTATATTTATTTTCTATGAATACTC